ACTAGACAAATAAAAAATAACACATGTTTTTTACATATAGAACACACACACGAACACAAAAATTAAAACGACTATAACTTTTTATACGAAACCCCAATGCATGTATGACTGGAAAAAAAAAATGAAAAGATGACATTCTAAACTTGGAAATCATGTAAAATAGGCTTATTTTTCAAAGTAATAAAGTGGTGAAAATCTAGGCTCAAATTGGCCCACGGGCTGATGGTAAACCCAAACTCTCTAAAACTACCTAATCATGATCCAAACCTTATTTGAAAACAAACAAACATATTTGAATCATTTTCATTCAGTTTTGCAAGCCTCCAAACTCATCGAAGCTTAAATTATGCTAATCTGATGTGTTAAGGTATTTTGTAGTTGTTTCACCCGTGCTCTTCTCATTGGACTATTTGAATCCCATACATATTAGAATTAGCTCATTCCATGTTATAATCATGGTGCATACAATCACCCTCGAGTTGAAAGTTATTTGTCCTTAAATTAAAATTGTCAATATCTTTCAAGCAAGGTGAAAAGTCTTTTACATTAAACATAGTTAAAATATTGTACTCATCAGGAAGGTAAACCTTGTAAGCATTATCATTGTTTTTGGCAACCTGAAATGGTCCATCAACTCTCAACATCAATTTGGAGTTTCACTTGCATGAAAATACATCTTTGTTAAGATGAATCCAAACAAGATCTCTTGACTCAAATCTGAACATTTTTCGCCCTTTATTAGCATATTTAGCATACTTTGTTGTCTTCTTTTTAATATGAGATCGAACTTGCTCGTGGAGTTTTTTTTTATATAATTTCTACCTTTTTAACCCCATCCATAGAAATACCTTTATTAATTGGAATAGTCACCAAATCAATAGGAACAAAATGGTTAAAGTCATACATTAGGATATGAATTCATGACTAATAAAAAGTCCATAAATCAAAAGGAACTAGATAACAAAACCTGTACAATAATTTTTTGTCTGTATTGTCTTGCCTTATTGAACTCAGATTGATCTAGAACATTAAACCAAATTTTAATAATATATTTAGAAACACTAGGTAAATTCTCAATATGATCCAATAATTAGATTGAGAATTAAGCATGTTACCATAAAAATGGATATTTGGGAACACATGTTAGAAATTGAACTTGATCATTTTTACATTGTTCGATATCAATAAGGCTTTATTAGCCTTGTTTTAGATTTGTTTTGATTTCTTTTCTTCTCTCACAATAGGAAAGATAATTTATCTGCATGAGTTTTTTTTGTTGTGTCTAATAAGCTTGGTTCATATTAGGTATAAGTTTGATTAATTAACTTAAGCCCAATACTTGTTTAAGCTTAATTAATAAGTAGTTCTCAGCTATGACCTAAGCCTTATTTGGATCCATAAATTCAGGGTTTTTAGTATAGGTTTTGAGTCAGTTTTGTAAATCGCTCAATTTAGCCTATAATGGTTGATTTATTAGTGTTTTTATTTTAAGAGTATAAATACTCTTTGTAAGGTTAACATATTAAGACTTGATAATACTATTACTTTCAAATTTATTCAATTTGTGTGAGAGAGATTCTCACATTATTTGGTCCTCTAACATACTAAATTGATTTGGAGAGTTGTTGCAAATATATAATGATGTTTGAACCAAATATTTAGCACCTTTAAAATAATATAAAAAATTTCAACTTCTCATTTAAGAAATTTTCTCCCTTGTTCTTTCATTTTCAGAATTAGATGAAGAATAATTCAGATCTTTCATTCTTAATCATAAAGAGTGCGATGTTTTTATCTTAATAGGAATTTCATTGTGTCATCTTCGACTTATCAAAGAGTTTCATTTAGACTTTATCATTCATTTCCATTACAAATCATGTAATTTTCAACCTAAACCCCAAAAAAAAAAAAAAAAAGGAACTAGAGAACCACACTTACCTTTCTTTATCTTTATATCAAATTGCTAGTTTGTTCGAATTAGAAGGCTAAGGCACATCACCAAACAAAAACAATAACTTCTGCAGAAATGTGTTTTTTTTCCCAATAATTTTGCTCTTTTGATGTTGTATCAGCCAATCTTAGGCAACTTTTAAGGCTTCAAGGTATGTTTTTATAGGCTCACTAAAAAATAATAAAACAAGTTTTTATTTTATTTTTTATAATCTTACGCTTTCAATTACTTACGGCAACCATAAGCAATTTTTAGGGTCTCCAAACATGTTTTTGCATATTTTTGCACATATCATAACTTTTGCATAAATGTGTTTAATTTTAGTTTTGTACTTTTGACGACTGACCACTTAACCTTACTCTATTTTTAGGATGATGTGAATCCCATGATCACGTGAACAAGTAACCCATAATGAAGATTGACATAGACATAAGAAAGCTAAAAATTAAATTTAAGATAGAAGTTTGACACAATAATTACCTGAACTGAGATAATAGAAGTATTGGAATAAAATCCTCACCCAATAATTATAATGAATTGCGAAGAAGAAGCATAAGGAGTGATGTCACAAAAATAATTATTTTTGATAAGTTAATTTTTAATTATTTAAATAATCAATGTGTAAGAATCATCTCAAACACATATATAATTCATATAACAAGGTTTGTAGCCCTTGCATTCCATTTCAAAATGGTATTTATATAGTCTAAAAAAAAAACTTGATGGTCTAACATATGACCATAAATACAAAGATTATGTTCTAAGACAAATAAAATAACAAAATCTAAAACTCAATGTAAGTGTAACAACCAAATTTGTTGCACAATAACACATGTGAAAATCTAAGAAAATTATTTTTTTAAAAGCATATCAATGTGTGCAAAACACCTTCATTCTTCACATAATTAACAACACACAAGGATTTAAAATCATAAGCCATAAAATAAGCCTATCATAAATATAATATATACCATAAAATTAGTTACAACTATACAATATTCAAATGAACTAAAATATGTCAATTAATAGTAAAATCAATTAAGTCTAACAAAGCATTCAAATTCATTCGTTACATGATTTAACATTTAATTTGAATACCCAAGATATTATAAAAGAGTGGAATATAATTACAATGATATTCTTTTTCAAAATAAAATGCTTAATACTTTCATGATTACATATAATTAACTTTTAGAAAAGAGAAATATCAAGCAACTAAAATCTACCTAATGGTATTGATCTTAGAAATTAGTTGAAATTAAAGTTATATTTGTTTGCTGGAAAGTAATTTTTTTTTTTTAAAAAGTGAATTCTAGAAAAATAAATTTTTAAAAGATAAATTATTTTTCAATGTTTGGTAGTATAATGAAAAATAAGTTGGAAAACACTTTTCAGTATATTATTATATCATAAAAATGAGTTGAAAAATAACTTATTAATGTGTTTTTTTTCAAGTTTATTAAAATAATAAGAAATAAATCTTATAGATTAAAAATTTGAATAAGAAGAATAAGAATGAAATTGAAAAAAAATATAATTTCATAAATTATATCAAATAAAATAAATAATAATTAAAATAATAGAAATCAAATCTAACAAATAAAAAAATTAAAAGATGAAGAAATTAAAATAATAATAATTACTATTTTATAAATTATTTCAAATAAAATAAGTAACAATTAAAAGAATAAGGACTAAATTTGATAAATAAATTTTTTTAATTAAAAATAAAAAGAGAAAAACAAATAATAATTCTAAAAATGAGGACCAAAGTTAATATAAAAATTAAATTCTAAGGGATGAAATTGAAAAAAATATTCAAAATAAAATATATATAGCAATCAAAAGTTTAAAAACCAAATTTAATATAATAAAAAAATAATATGATATTTTTAAATTTTTCATAACTTTTGAATAGTATTTTCTATGAAAAAATAAAGAAAAATATTTTTATAACCATGTTTTTATTTAACTAAAAAATAATTTTTATTAACAAATATTTTTAATAAAAAATGCAAAATTGTTTTATAAATAATTTCTAAAAATCCACTTTTCATCCCATAAACAAACTCCCCTGGAGCTAATTATTTTCCCTGCATATCAAGTATGACAACAACATAATATTTTTAAATAATTTACTGAGCATCTATATTTAATCATGATTAAATCATTCATTAGCTCAATTCTTACCTAACAATGAGACACTATTCCGGTAATGTTTTAGTTGTGGTTAAAAAAAATATTTTTTATTTTAAATTAATATATTTTTAATATTTTAGATTAATATGACATGATTAATATATTTTTAATATTTTAGATTAATATGATATGTTAAAAATAATTTTTTTAAAATATAAAATATTATTTTAAAATAAAAAATACCTTAAAAACAAACAACTGTTTCACCCTCCCAAACATTCTATTTCTTGCATACCGGTCCCTTCGCACAGGTTAACCAGGATTCCCTTACCTGTCCCATCTCACAGGGCAATCTGGTCTCACTTTTACCGGTCCCATCGATCAGGACTCCCCAATTTCCTTTTACTTTTTTCTAACTTTACCGGTCCCACGATTTCGTTCGCGTTCCCACCTTCTCCATGTATGATTTTATTTTTTAATCAGTAATTTTCCTTTTACTTTTAACAATTACCATGTTTAAAACACACAATGATTTATTATTGTTTTAAAAAGACTGTTTTTTTTTTTGGCTGCTGGAATTCTGATGAAATGAAATTGCTTTATTTCTTTATAACATGCACTAATTGACATTAAAAAAAGGAGAAAAAACAAAGAAAATGTAAACCAATACCAAAAACCCTACAGAATACCTTTATTATTATTATTATTTTACTTTTACTATTATTATTATTTTAAAAGGTTCATTATTGTTATAATTCATTTTTACCGTCAATTTCTATCGTATTTTTAAATATATATTTCTTTTACAAAATATCTTCTTATGCAATCCAAGCAAATTATGTTAATTTTATAATTATAATTTTTGACATCTTCATCTGCTTTATTTTGTTTGGTGGGATACGTTTGAAATAAAATAAAAATTATAGAGTGAAACAGTAAGTAACCAGAGATGAACGAGTGAGCGGAGAGAGAGAGAGGGCGGAGGGCACCGAGAGAAAAAAAAGACAGGCAGGAAGAGAAAGAGAGCAGGAATTAGAAAGTAAGAAAACAGTGGAAAAAAAAGAAAAAGGAAAACAGACCAGCCATAAAATTCTCCCACGGCGAAAACCTAGGCAACCTCCTTAACATACCAGCGCCGCCGCTGCCAACAACCACACAGTATGCCCTTCGCCGGCAGCCGTCTACACCATCACCGAACTCCACCACAGATTCCAGCCACACCCACAGCCATTTGCCTCATCCGATCAGCCTTCCCTAATCAATCAACACACCACCAAAACACATAATAGCCACCATAGGCCGAGAAACCAAGCAAATTTCCACCAGAAACCACACCAAAGAATCCAACAGTGACTGCTGCCTTTTCTCCAAATAACCAGATCGTTTTCTGCCTGTTTCTTCCCGCGGGTTCATCTCCGCTCGTGAGATGCACGCGCCGCCGACCAATCGCATGACAACTCTCTAGCGCGTAGGTCACGCTTCCCAGTCTCCTTTACAGCAGTTTCCGCCCTAACTCAGCAGCTCCCGAACTTCGTTTTCAAACTTCCTTCACCATTTGAGAGAAAGTACCAACCTATCTATGTAGCTCACTCCCTGCTGCTATCTTTTTCCTGCAATTAATTCCCTACTCGGATTCGACGATCTCGTAATTTCATTTTTTTCCCCATCGCCTCCTTTTCTTTCCCCTCTTGCAAAAATAGTTTTCCTAAAAATTGAATTTTCCAGCTAATCGTCGCTCATGAAACTGAATTCTTTTTGAATCCTTTTACAAGTTGAAAAATTCAATTAGTACATTTTTCTGAGATATTTTTAGTGTAATTTTTTCATTAATTAAAATAGTTAGCCTTTTTTTTTTAATTTTAATTAATTTTTGTAGCTGAAATGAGATGGCGTCTTCACAATCTTCACAAAATGTGGAGTTGGAGGCTGCCAAGTTTCTACACAAACTCATTCAAGATTCTAAAGATGAGCCTGCGAAACTGGCTACAAAACTCTATGTGGTGTGTAGTTTGCACTTAAATAAAATTTTATTTTTCTTACTATGTTTGAACTGTGGTGGTAATTATGTGCATTCTTCTTATATTTGTGTGTTTTAGATTTTGCAACACATGAAATCAAGCGGGAAGGAACATTCGATGCCGTATCAAGTAATATCAAGGTGAAACATTTTGGTTGCATTTGGTTTTTATCTTTGTTTTTAAAGATGGCGTGTTTCTTAGATACTGGAGACAGCTTATTCACTGTAAATGATTCTGGGATTGTTAGACATTTATTCTTGTCTCGTCTTGGATGGATTTATTAAATTATATCAGTTGAGATGATAATTAATAAAAATTGAGTTTGCAAGAAGGCATGAGTTTTATATACTTTCTTTATATAGTTAGATTATGATGTGATTCCTTTTTTATATCTTGATTTTGGAAGTGATGTCCTTGTACCTGACAATCGACTTCTAACATGTCATTTGGTTATTAAGGTTCCACTGGCATGGCTAGGAAATAAGATTTATTTGAGTTTTGCAACTTGTGAAGTCCCAGTTTTATCGTTTCATACTAAACTTTAGTTTAAACCCTGCATTATCAACACAAATGTGCTCCTATGTTGAAAAAATTAAACTTAAATAGAATAATATTTGATGCCGGTGACTGCTTCCTTCATGAATATGTTGTTACTAGATAATCTTTAGTCAAGTACCATATGGCAGCGAGTTGGTTGCCCAATTTGCCATTGGATTGCCAGATTATTTTATACGGTTTCTTTTCTGATTTGTTCTTGGTCTCTCTCTGGGTTGCCTGTTCTTAACTTTTTATGTGTTGTTTTTTGCTTATCTGGTATTCCACCAGTTCAGTTTGTTATGTCATCATCATAGTTGTGGCAAAATTGCAACTCTTTAGTTGAAAATTCTTCTTTGCTCAACCTTTTGTGGTGGATTTGTTTCCCTGACATATTTTTTTCTTAAACCAAGGGCCATGGAGACTGTCATCAATCAGCATGGTCTTGATATTGAAGCTTTGAGGTCATCACGCCTTCCTTTGACCGGTGGAACTCAAATGGGGGATTCTTCAACTGCACAATATGGAGGTGAAGTTGTTTTGTTCATACTGCCACCATTCTGCCCAGTGAATCTTTTTACTGTATTTATTGTGCTAGTGCATAGCATATTGAATTAATCATTAAGAAACGTTTATACCCTTATGCAGGATCTTCTCAGGCAGTTGGAGTTGGGAAAGACTCTAAAGCTGGATTGGCTGAAAATGAGATATCCAAAGTTGATCCTTCTGCTTCCAGTAGGTGTAGTGCAGGCCATGATTATTATCAAGGATCTGGAACTCAGAGGAGCAGCCAGTCGTTTGATCATGAAAGTCCTTCTAGTTTGGACACTAGGTCTGCCAATTCACAATCCCAAGAAAGAGGAACGAATCAGAAGGATGGTAAAAAGGCTGTTGCTAAGAGGAAGAGGGGTGATTCATCTTTACACTCGGAAATGCATGTTGACAATCCCCAACAACTTGATCCTCGCAATACCATAGTTAATCCAAGGAAGGGGAAAATGAACAAGGTTGACTCACCAGGGAGTTATGCAGTTAGAGGTGGTGAAAATACCAGCTTTAATAAGGTTCCTAGTAGTGGTCAGCTGGAAGTTTCGTCTTCTTATGTGTCTGCAGGACAACAGCAAGGGGGTTCTCTTTCATCTGCACATGAAAGTCTCACTTCCAGGTGTATGTGGAATCAAAATAAAGCAGGGTTACCCCATGAAAGATCTCAAGTTCCGAGATTCTCTTCGAATTCTGTTTCTGGTAATGCAACAGCAGAAATTCCATTGCAGCAGTCAGCAATTTCATCTCTTGGATCAAGTAAGGATTAAAATATGCTATCAAATAAAAAGAATATGGTTGGATCGAAATCATAAATTTGGTCTTTTTTGACGGTGAAAGCAGGATTTGTTCCAATCTTAACCATATTCAAAGACTGGGAGCAAAAACTTAAAAAGTGAATCACTTAGTTGGAGGACATATTATTGATAACATTTTTGTTTAGTTGTTTTTTTGGTTGTCTAGAAAGATGTTTTCTTCTTTGCTGCTAGGAACATCAGGGAATGGATAATGTTTTATGGGGTTCGAGCATTTCTCAAGAAAGATTCTGACCATTTTATTTAAGTAACTCATTGATTAGTGATTAGTGATCTGGTACTTGGTATTACTGATGTCTTAGGTGCTTTTAGCAAGGTTCATGGAGGGATGCCTGCCACTTCATATTCAGCAGGGCCCATGGGGGAGCCAGGGTTTGCAGGTCTAGTGCAATACAGTGGTTCTGAACATCAGAAACATGGATTGGCAAAGGGTGCTGTAGCTAGTTCTGCTGAGAAAACCTCAGAAGGCTTTTTTTCTGCTAACCGTGCGGATGACTTTCCCACTTCACTTTCAACTGGAAAGATTTTAGAAAATGATAGAGGAAGTTCAAACATGTTTGCAGAGTCAAATAAAATTATCCAGGTACTCTCCCCCAAAAAAACTACTATGGCTTTTCCTCTCTAGACATAATGAAAGATTGCTGTTGAATGATAGTCTTTATCCTAGCTCTGTTTTGGTTTTCATTTGCATTGTGATGTACAGCTCATGCAATGCCAGACTAGTAAGTGTTAATTCATATTCTATCCTGCAGTGGTCTAGCATTTGATGTTTGATCTCTTGATTTTTAGGATTATGAAATATAATGTCTCATCATGCATCATTTTTAATCTTGATTTCACCATAATCTGTTCCGAGTATGAAACTCTGTTCTCTGATATGTTATGTATTAGGCCGCCTCTTCTTTTTATATGTTCTTTTTCATCACCAGGGTGGCAGGCAATCTAGTAATTCAGAATTGACAATGATTAGATCAACACCTCCTAGAGATGTTGGAAAATCTCCTGTTTCACAAGGTTCTGTCTCGCCTGGCATGCCTTTCAATGAACAACAGCTGAGACAGCTCAGAGCTCAGTGCCTTGTCTTTTTAGCATTCAGGTAGATAGCACCACTCCCTGAGCATGTACTTTTCCTTTTAGATGGGGAGTCATGCTGAGAAAGCCTTTCTTTTGCTCTGCTGGTTTTTATTGGTTTGTCCTCCTGGTTTCTGTGTTGCAGAAATGTTTTGCCGCCAAAGAAACTTCATCTGGATATAGCACTTGGAAATGTTGTTACTAAAGATGGTAAGAACTCATGATTAAAGATGATCATGGGCAGTTCTACTTGGCCATGCTAGTGGACCTAGCTTAATATGCTAGGGCTTGGAAAAGGAATCTTGCTTGTTTATCCAAGTTTATGGCTGGCCTTGACTCGCAAAATTCTGTGAAGCCTGGCCTCCTTTGCGCTAAGAAAACATATGTAATACACTGGCTTAACTTGTGTTTAAGACAACTCTTGGGCTTTATAAGCATGGGTGGGACCAGGCTGTGGCCTAGGCATCATGCCTCTGTCCTGAGGTGAATGCCTGGCCTAGATTAGGTCTCACGATCAGTTCCACTTGATCTACTTGCCATATGTTTTTAATTTTTCACCTTCTTATTGTTCTGTTCTTGTTGTTATTTTTGTTGTTATTGTTGTTCAGCAACTATCTCTTGCTTGGTGGTAATCAGGTGGCACTTTGGATGGTCCTCGCAAAGAGCTGACTGATCATAAAGGAAAGGCACAATCTTCTAATGAGCCAACCAATATTCCTGAAGTTTTAATGCCATGTGGAAGGCTGAATAATGCAAAGGAATTTGATAAAGTGCTTCCAGGTTTGGGGGGAAGATTCTTGGATGAAAACTGTGCATCCAAAGAAGCTGATAAACTTAAAGTGATGGAGGACAAAAGTGGTCTACCTTCTGACCCCTCGATGCTTGCAGATGAAAGGAAATATCTATACTCCACAAGGAAACTGGATGCTGAAATACAAAGGCAGGAAGCAGTGGAATCACAGGCAGTTTTCAGCACTGCAATGCAGCAGCCTGATTCAGCAAGGGGTGGTTTACCCTTGAGTAACCCTGCGGACAGCATGGGGAATGCCTTTCTTCAAGTTGGAAAAACTGACCATGCTTCTTCTGCACCATTCATAAGTAAGCAGGCAATCCCTGAGGCAGTTAGCTGGACTAGAATTGGCAGTCAATCCCTACCATCCGGCTCCATTCAGCTCGGATTGGTTCCAGACAGAAAAGATAATGCTCCTAGTCAGTTTCACATTCTTGGCAATAGTAATGCTTCAGGTAACAAATCTGGTCATAATGTTTCCTATTACATTTCAGTAAATGAGCATTGGGCTCTTAGTTCAGGATTTGACAATGATCTCGCATGGTGGCTCAAATGAAGGATGCAGATGTGATACGAAACACTTGTCTTAGCAGGGGATTTGGCTTTCTAGAACAAACAATATCCTATGAACTGCTTTTGTGATTCTCATGCTGCTTATGTTAATTGTCGTCTGCAGATGATTCAAAATTCGAATTTCAAACAAGATATGCTCTAGATGCGTGTAAAGTTGTTTCAGTTGATGTTTTGTTAAGAAATGACGTCTCTTTTACAACAGAACAAGATGATGATGATAAGTCAGCCGCTTCTACTGATTCACCACCTTCTCCAAAGTACACCATGTTAGAGAAATGGATTATGGATCAGCAGAGGAGGAAACTTTTAACCGAGCAAGGTTGGGCTCTAAAACAGCAGAAAACAAAACAAAGAATTGCCACTTGTTTTGACAAGTTAAAGGTTTGTTTGGAGATTCTTCTTGGTTGCTTGGTGCTTTGTCATCTTATTGTGATTACCAATTCTTGCACTCTCTTGCTCCTCTGGGCTGGTTTTTGCTCACACACTTTGTTCCCCTCCTCTTATATTTGCGGTACAGGAAACTGTTAGCTCGTCTGAAGACATATCTGCAAAAACCAAAATTGTAATAGAATTGAAAAAGCTTCAGCTCTTGGAGCTTCAACGCTGTCTAAGGAGGTGATTGATTTTCCCAAATTTTGCTATATTTTGTTAGCTTGTGTATGTTTTATCATGATTTGCAGTCAGACCATGATGTTTACCACATGTCTGGTTGCTTTAGTTGCTTATTGTCATTTTAGTTATCGTTTTCTTTGACACCTTGTTTTGTGTGAATTTCGGCAGTAATTTTCTCAATGATTTTTTTAAGCCCATCACAAATGACATGGATCGTTTGAAATCATATAAGAAACATAAGCATGGTAGGAGGATCAAACAACTTGAAAGGTATGAGCAGAAAATGAAGGAAGAACGACAAAAGAGGATACGTGAGAGGCAGAAGGAGTTCTTTGCTGAGATAGAAGTTCACAAGTATGTTTTTGTTGGGGTTAATTTAGAGCACATGCCCCCTCCTCACCTTGTAATATTTTTTTTTAAACTTTTTTTAAATGCTTTGTGTTGGATGCTTATCTTCTGTCTAATGGCTTGCACTAAATAAAATATCCTTCTTTCTTTTGCACTGCTTGTTAACCTTAATTTAGGGAAAGACTGGAAGATGTGTTTAAGATTAAGAGAGAACGCTGGAAAGGTTTCAATAAATATGTCAAAGAGTTCCATAAAAGGAAGGAGCGTACCCATCGGGAGAAGATTGACAGAATCCAGCGTGAGAAGATTAATTTATTGAAAATCAATGATGTTGAGGGGTATCTGCGAATGGTGCAGGTTAGATCTGGCTTGCCAATTTTTCTGATGTGAGGCTGGTATCCTATGTTCACTCCTTTTGCCTATTGCACAGGATGCAAAATCAGACCGTGTTAAGCAACTGCTGAAAGAGACGGAGAAGTATCTTCAAAAGCTTGGATCCAAGCTACAGGAAGCTAAGTCTATGGCAAGCCGATTTGAGAATGATATGGATGAGTCACGGCATGCTGCTGTTGTTGAGAAGAATGAAACTTCTGTTGAGAATGAAGATGAAAGTGACCAGGCCAAGGCAAGCTGCTTGGCTGTGCACTTTCTCAAGTTTATTTTGTTTTTTTGTGCATTCTTGATTCTATATTTGCTTGCTTAAATTTTCTCATTTAATTCTCTTTGATCTACTTCGCAGCATTACATGGAAAGCAATGAGAAGTACTATTTGATGGCTCATAGGTATGAATGCCACTTTTTATCTTTTCATAACTTTTTTTGTTTGACATTTAAATAATTTATCTTTTTATGAAAAGAGAGTGGATTAAGTTTACCATTTGATATCATGTATATTGTGGGCTCTAAGCAGCCTTTGTTCTTAATTCTTGTCTATTTTGTGCGCCTATAAATGTTATGATGTTCTTTAGTGGTGGAGCTACTAGGTTGTCTTTTGACATTCAAGTTCTTGGGAGGCTACTCCCCTGTCTATCCTGTTTTACAATTCAAATTTTATGTTAGTCCAAAGTATTTTACTTTGGAATTTTTATGTTATTTTACAGTATTTTACATTGGACATTATTTTGTGCAGTGTAAAAGAAAGCATTGCAGAACAGCCAACAAGTCTCCTGGGCGGAAAATTAAGGGAGTGAGTAGAACCCATGTTGCTCAAATACTGTGTATCACTGTTTGTTAGATTATTGGGTCATTGGGTGTAGTGATAAGAATCTTTTAGGTTGTTTAATAGATCAGATGCAAATGATCCTTCCTGTAGACTCAGGTTAAACTTTGTGCTGTTGTTCTCCAGTTTGAAATTTCTTAAGTTGATGTTTTGATCTTCAGGTATCAGATGAATGGACTAAGGTGGTTGGTTTCACTATACAACAATCATTTGAATGGCATTCTTGCTGATGAAATGGGTCTTGGGAAAACTGTTCAGGTACATTTTTTTTTTTTTTTGTTATTGTATTCTAACTCTAGTTCCTTTTCCTTTCTGACTATAACTATTCAAACAAACATATCAACCAAAAATTTCTTACAAAGTAATGTGGCAGCTACTTTTCATGTTCGATCAATTTTCTAAGGCCCACATATAACCAGCTATCACTTTCCACATCAGTTTGTATTAAGTTTTTCTATGATTTATTTGTTGTAGATCAGTTTTCTTCCTATTTACTGTCACACTGTTTCCTAGCTGTATATGCCAATGATCCAGTCATTCTTTTCTTTTGGTAGGTTATTTCTCTAATTTGCTACCTGATGGAAACAAAAAATGATAGAGGGCCTTTCTTGGTGGTTGTACCTTCTTCAGTTTTACCTGGCTGGGAGACTGAAATCAATTTCTGGGCACCTGGAATCCTTAAAATTGTCTATTCCGGGCCTCCAGAGGAGAGGCGCAGGCTATTTAAGTAATAACAAATGGGAATGAGACTCTCCATATCTTTTTGCAGTCTGGATTATTGAATTGCAAGTGTAAGTGCAATCATTGTTTTTTTTTCAGGGAAAAGATTGTGCATCAAAAATTCAATGTCCTTTTGACAACTTATGAATATCTGATGAACAAACACGATAGACCGAAACTGAGCAAGATACATTGGCGCTATATAATAATTGATGAAGGCCATCGCATAAAGAATGCTTCTTGCAAATTGAATGCTGACTTGAGGCATTATCAGAGTTCTCACAGGTTGTTATTAACTGGAACACCACTACAGGTAACAAAATCCCCCCCCCCTCCCCCCAAGTTCTGCTATTTCTTGGATTGGTTGGTTATATTCTTCGAGTGCAATGGTTTAACATATGCAAAGTGTCTTCTCTTGTTACAGAATCATGCCTTGTACATTCCTCCTTTGATAATTTTCTGCAGATATTACTATCTAATTCAATATTATTGTTCTCTCGTGCAGAACAATCTTGAGGAATTGTGGGCACTGCTCAACTTTTTGCTACCTAACATATTTAACTCAGCAGAGGATTTTTCTCAGTGGTTCAACAAACCATTTGAGAGTAATGGTGATAATTCAGCCGATGAAGTAAGCCTTTTGACCTGTTCTTCTCTTTTTTTTTTTTAAAGATGTTTCACTGTATCGAGTGCTTTTTTTGTTGATATTCTCTCAAATTTCTTATGTAACCATCACTGGCTGTGTGTAGGCCTTACTTTCTGAGGAGGAAAATTTGTTGATCATAAACCGTCTCCACCAAGTTCTTCGACCATTTGTACTTCGGAGACTGAAACACAAGGTCCTTAAACTTATTGTATATTACATACACTGGCGCATCTGAATGCATGGATAGCAAATATCACAAGGGATTTTTTTTGTTCTTGTTAGACATGAAAAATTTGGTGTTGGGATTTATTCTCACATCTTTGCTTGCATTCTCAAATTCATTTGTTAGGTTGAGAATCAACTGCCTGAGAAGATTGAGAGACTTGTTCGGTGTGAGGCTTCTGCATATCAGAAGCTTCTTATGAAGAGAGTGGAAGAGAATCTTGGCTCAATTGGAAATTCAAAGGTCTCCTACATGCATTTTATTCCTGCATTTTTTGATGGTTGTACTCCATGAACAGTAACTGCTAAAAACTACTACCATTATTTAACTGTAGAAGACCCATCTTTTGCAGGCTCGATCAGTGCACAACTCAGTTATGGAGCTTCGTAACATATGCAATCACCCATACCTTAGCCAGCTTCATGCGGATGAGGCATTCTCTTTTTCTGTTTATTTTGACTTATTTGAATCTTTATATAATACTCAAGGAAGAAGGAAAATAAAATTCTGTTATGATGAGTTCTGTCTTTCTTTGTGAAAATACTTCCCGTGCCCTTTTTACTCTTCCTTTTGGGAGCTGAATCTGGGTTAAAGGTCTTATGTGTCCATTTTGATACCATTTTGCTTCTTCTCTCATTAACCTCAATATGAAATTACTTTTTGTAGGTTGATAATTTGATACCTAAGCATTTTCTGCCACCAATTATTAGACTTTGTGGAAAGCTTGAGATGCTAGATCGTTTGCTACCCAAATTGAAAGCAACAGACCATCGGGTATGGGTATTCTTGTATTAAATCTGCCACTTAATGTTTGCTAGAAGTTTATTTTGTCTCTTGAGTAAATTGAACCAGTGCCTGGCAGGATTATAACCATTTTGCTGTAGGGTGAATATTAGGGTGCTTCTAGACTTTTTCCTATTACCTTTTTCTTAATTTTGTTGAAATGCATGCTAAACATCTCAATGTTGTTTTCTTCATAAATGAAAGCTCTGTTGGTTTTCTAGAGCTCCTATTACCATGGGCTTTAGTTTTGAATCTGTTATTTTTCCAGTATTGAGGATTTGCCAATTGCTGGATCCATACAGGTTCTTTTCTTTTCCACAATGACCAGGCTGCTTGATGTTATGGAGGAGTATCTCACTTGGAAACAGTATCGATACCTTCGCTTGGATGGTCATACCTCTGGAGGTGACCGTGGTTCGCTCATTGACCGTTTTAACCAACAAGATTCTCCGTATTTTATTTTCTTGCTCAGGTGATCAGTTTTTCATATATACTTGATATTTAGATATTTCTGTGTAACCAACCAGATTTTCCCTGTTTTATGTGGTGAGTCATGTGTCATGCATGCTTGATATTTAGGATCTTTTTTGGTGTTTACCTAGGCATGGTAGTATAGTAGTCATGCCAAGGTTAGAAAATTGGATGAGTTTGAGATAGAAGAGGGATAATTTTTTTTTATTTCCAACATCAAAATTATACTAGACCTTGTTTGTCTAGCTATTTATCTATTGTGGAGGCATGAAATTGGAGGTTGGGATATTGCAGGTAGGAAATTTTGGTTTCTGGATGTTTAATAATTTGCATTGTGTTTCCTTCCTTCTTAAAAGAGAGTGCACATGGAGATGAGATATTGGAGGAGGTAATCCATGTATATTGTAACTGTTTGGCACGTGCACACTCTTGTAGGGATTTTTTAGTCTTGTTAATGGTTGTGATGCAAATGAGATGGTTGATTGGCTGGTTATGCAACGAGACATTGCATTTCAGTGGAGCTTGTATAGTTCATTGTTTCACCCTTATTACTATGATTGCGTGTTAATAGTAAATTACATTAAATCTCAGAAACCTTTTGATGTGCCCTGGCATATTGAATACATGTGTGTTTTCATGCTTATGTGTAATTAATTTCCATAAGCCTGACATTTTAAATATATGGACTTAGCATTCGGGCTGGTGGTGTTGGAGTGAACCTTCAAGCTGCTGATACTGTGATCATATTTGATACTGATTGGAATCCTCAGGTTATAAATGAAGTTGCAACACCTTGATTTGTTTTCTATCTGGGTTACTGATTCTAAACTGGTCTAGTTTATGTTGGTACCTTATCAGGTTGATCTTCAAGCTCAAGCAAGGGCTCACAGGATTGGCCAGAAGAGGGATGTGCTTGTTCTTCGATTTGAAACAGTAATTCTCTCCTTTCTCTTGATGTCTTTTCAGGCTAGTGCATATTGATTTTCTGATTTTGGAAATGTGAACATTTGAGATTTTTTTATGATAACTGACTCTGGTTTCTAATGAATTAATGTTAAACCGGAGAGGCTGGGTGCATGGCCTCATGAGACTTAAAAATGATCTGTACCAATATAGTTTTCTTTCACAATGGCAGCTGAGGGTTTGGACTGATCTCATAAATGCCATTTCTTTCTTTTGCTGGAATGCATCAGACAAATAGTACTTTTGCCAGTCCCTAGGAAAAACTAAATAAAACAAAAAAGAATCAAGGAGTTGATAAACTACTTAGGTATTGAATACCTACTCTTCCCTCTCTTTTTTTGTTTGCTATGTGATTTGAAAGAAGATGCCCCCCCCCAGCCTTTGTCCTTTCTCAGGGGGGCAGGCCATACTGTATTTTTCTTTTAGAATGTCTTTGGTGGTATCCTTCATTTCCTCCTTTCTTCTTTATCTTTTTCTAAGTTTGGATATCATTATTTCAGAGCAGTGTCTAAATGCTGATGCTCTGGAGCGGAATGAGCATCCATGTAGGAAGTTTAATGTTTTTTTATAGAAGTATTTGTGGTGCTTCCATTTATGCCTTGTTGACATCTAAATTATACTTGAACAAAGGGCCTGATCATAGGTTCTAAATATTGGTAATACAATGTTCTCATCTTTCCTTTTAGGTTTTTCTAAAGGGTGTAAATTGGCATAATTTCTGAATGATTTTTCATTAATTGGGGAATTAAACATTAGATTGAGAGGGATATGAAATAGTAATTCAAGGATAGTTCATCTTTTATGTGTAACTAATTTGGTTTTGATTTTGGGCTTGAAAGTTCAAGAATCAAAGCAAAAAGATGGAGAGGAAAATAAAATGGTGAATGCTAGGAATGCCTGATTTCTCTTGTTGTGAACCCTGGATCTTGAATTTCACAAGGACTGTGGAAGGTGATGCATGTTTTTTAATTTAATTGTCATAAGGTCCAAACTGTTGAAGAACAAGTCAGAGCTTCTGCTGAGCATAAACTGGGAGTTGCTAATCAGAGCATTACTGCTGGTTTCTTTGACAATAATACAAGGTTAACGGGAATATTTGTTCAAGTGATTGCTCTTTAAAATTATTCCAAAGGGTTTCTAACTGATGCTCCAGGGGAAATTTCTGTCTTGTTTTTACAGTGCAGAAGATCGAAGGGAATACTTGGAGTCCCTTTTGCGTGAATGCAAGAAAGAGGAGGCTGCCCCTGTTTTAGATGATGATGCTCTAAATGATCTCTTAGCTCGCAGGTAAATCCTTTTCAAAGGCTGTTGTATTTGTCAGTCAGCATTCTATTTTCTGTGACTGGTAATCCACATAATATAGTATGGTTTACAAGCTGCTGCTCATTTGTATTTTAGAATTTATATATAGCTTGTCCACATAGTTGAAAAATATGATTCATTTGGGGTGGCTAGAAATTATCTGGAAATGATGTATAGGCTTCAATGTAAACAAACTATTTTTGAATTCACTTATCTATTCTTTTTGTCCATGATTGAATAAATTAAGATTTTCATATAAGAAATAAATGATCCATGATAGACTCAAATGTGTTTTCCTTCCACCGCATCTCATTGTATCTGATCAATGGAGAGGCCTCTGGCATTAGTTCCTTCTGCATCTTTATGTTGCTTTGCTTCTGGGCCTTCTAAATTAGTTTCTCTAGTTGATATCCAGTGGGACTGTAAAGCCTTTTTATTATTATCAGCAAATAAGATGTATCCTCTGGTTTCCTATGCAATACGTTATGTTGGGTAAAAAGAAAGGTGAGTCATTGTAGAGCTAAGATAATTCACTGTCTCAAAAAGTGGGGGTACTCATGTAGATAAGTGCAGCTTTCTGAATAACATTTCAACTTAAATAAGAGGAGGAAGTTTTCCTTGGTGACTATTTCTGACCATTCTACTTTTAAAGGCCATGTTTAATCACCAGTCACTATCTTAGCAGTCATTTTGGAAGGGCTAGTTATTGTTTTGGATTTGAAATTTGAATACGATGGAATCCTGAAATTCCTTCCCTGTTGATGTACCTACTTTGGCCTACTTTACTTTGGGAAGCAGTCTGTATTATTCGTGCTATCAATTGCATTGCCTTTTTGTTGAATTATATTGTCAAGTTGAAATTTTCATATTTATTAAAACTTACGTTGGCAGTGAATCAGAGATTGATGTATTTGAATCAGTTGACAAACAAAGGCGGGATCAAGAGATGGTATGGTTAAAATATGCCTGCCTTCATGGCTTAACTGCTCTGGTTCGTCAGCTAAATAAAACTTCTAATTCTACAGGCAACATGGAAGAGTTTGTTATCGGGTCAAGGGATGGATGCTTTGGAACCTCTACCATCTTTGCCTTCACGCCTTGTAACAGATGATGACTTGAAAGCACTCTATGAAGCAATGAGGTTGTATGATATGCCAAAGGCTGGGGCAGAATCCAATGCAGGGGTGAAGCGTAAGGGACAGCATGTTGGGGGCCTTGATACTCAACATTATGGAAGGGGCAAACGAGCTAGAGAGGTTTATCATTTATATTCGACTCTTGTGGTCATAGCATGTGCCATCTAACATGTTAGCATGTTATGCCTTCACTATCCCTTTTTCTTAATTTTGGTCTTTCACTTTGTTAGGTACGCTCTTATGAAGAGCAATGGACAGAAGAGGAATTTGAGAAGATGTGTCAGGCTGAATCTCCAGACTCTCCTAAGGTGAAAGAAGAAACAGGAGAGAGGAACTTGCCAAAAGAGGCTAGTGGGTCTTTATTGGCTATTGGTAGCACAGAACCTCAAGCTCCACCACAACCTCAAGCTCCACCACAACTGCCACCGCTGCCACCTCCTGTGGAGCCTCTCCTGCTGCAGCAGAGCAAAGAGGTAACTCCTCCATCAAAACGGGGGCGTGGAAGGCCGAGAAGAGCAACTTCAGATAAATCTCCAGCTGCAATGGTACTCTCAGTACCTCCTGAAACTGGCAAAGTGGATGCGGAGTTACAGAAGGGAATAGAGTCTGGCTCCTCAAAAACATCTCTTGATTCTTCTCCTGTTCCTAATTTAGAAGGTAATAGTGGAGCCACACCTCATTTAGGATCAAGGATTGCTCCCAGTGCTCAGCCAACCACTCCAGTTTCTGTTGCACTTAGCTCACAAATCACTACTGCCCCCCTTTCTGTGTCATTGCAATCAAGAGGTCGAGGACGGAAGGTTCAAGGTGCAGTTCAAACACCACGGCGCAGAGGAAAGAATCAAGTGGCTGTTTCACCCACCACTTCAACTTCTGCTGTTCCTGATCCAAATATAAATGATCAATCACAGAATGTATCTGTCAATCCATCCGTAATTGCCATGGGTGGAACTGTTTCTAGTGCTCCCATGCCACAACATCCTAATAATTTTCCTCCTGCTGCTGCTGCTGTAGAGGGTATTAGTGCAGCCACTCATCATTCTGGGCCTGCTTTGGATTCTCAACCAAACCCTCCCAACCCTTCTATCTCCCCTACCATTCAATCCATAGTTCCTACTTCTTCAGTTCCTATGCAAGTTAAAGGGCAAAACCGAAAGACTCAAAGTGGCACCGAAACAACTCGACGCAAAGGAAAGAAAGAGGTGCCAGTATCACCTTCTGTTCCAGATGCTTCAGACAGTCAGCTTTCAAAATCCAATCCAACGTTGTCACAGGATAAATCTGGGGAATCAGGAAGTAAAGCTATTTTCATGGTTAGTAACCAACAGAATGATGCTCTGGAAAGAGATGTTGACCAGGAGCAAGTGTCCCAAGAAGTTGGCCAGGATAAAAAAGCATCAGAGCATTTGGATGATGTAGCCCAGCGTAGGCAACCAGCCAGCACTCCTACAACGCATGATGGTATTACCAGATCTATGGGTAAGATTTATAGATATCTAAATGGAATTGAAATTGATGTGATGGAAACAATTGATAATATCTTGCATACTGAAATCGAAGAACTCAGCTTGTGCAGGATCTTCTGGACAAATTCATGGTGTTGATATGCATGATGTAGCTTCTGTGACGAAGGAGGTTTCAGCAGTGAATAGCTCTTCAAAAGCTAAAGTACTTGAAGTTTCTGGGAGTGAAAGTGGAGTTATCCTGTCTACACCTCAATTAAGTAAGCGCTTTGCAGAGGTGGGCCAGAATCAAAACTCAGAGGATAACCCTTGCCTGGTGGTTTATCCTGCAACTGAGTCATTACTCCATTCTGCCACTGTAGAAGGTGTTTGCAAAACTGTGCATCAGCTTGCTCCGAAGATTACTTCCAGCTCTCAGCCAATTTCATCTTATCCTTCTGTTACTCCAGTATTTCAATCTAACACTCCTGAAGCCATGCAAGTTAAAAGGCAAGGTCATAAAGCTCCTACCAGAGGAGAAGCACCTAGACGAAGAGGTAAGAAACAGGGTTCAGTTTCACCTGCTGTGGATGCTTCAATTGGTCAGGATCCCATTGTAAATCCTCAAATGCAAATGCAAAATAAGTCCAGAGATTCATTAGGGAGCAAGGTCATATCATTGAGGAGTGGGCAAGGAAATGAACTCAAGGAGTTGAAGAGTGTTGTTGAGGTATTTTGTAATTTGGTGATTTGTTACAATACAATATAATTATTTGCTATCATGGTGATAAATAATTATATCCCTATCATATCAATTTAGAGTTGATACAACTGAATATATTTATTACTATTATATTGTGTCCTAAGTATAACAGGGCAATTTTTTTTTCTTTGTAGCTGTTTTCCATCTACTCTTTAACAGTAAATCAGTGTTATATTTTGTTTACGTGCTGTTTCATATTCAATATTTATTGTTTGTTTTTGCTTTTCCTTTTGTACTTTTAGGAAGCACATATTCCCAGTGGTTTGGTTGGTCAAGATCCAAAAAGAAAAGAAGCTAGTGGGATTCTGGCTGTTGGCCGAATTCAGACTGCTGACGTAACTGATGTTGCTCGTGTGATGAAGGAGATATTTTCTGAGACTTGCTCTTCAAAAAATAAAATTGGTGACTCTTCTTCAGTTGAAGTTAGAAGTGCCCCTGTTTCAAGTAAGATGTCTGTGGAGGTGGCAAAAAACCAAAGCTCAGAGGGTAAAGCACTATCCACTGTGTCAATTTTAGAAGCTACAGTTCCAGTCATGGGGAGTTCAATTGATGATTCTAAACAGCCTGGGTCTGGAGATGGTGTCAAGATGGAAGGGGATCATACTCCTGCTTTGGGTAAGGCTCCTACTTCTGAAATCAATCCCTCTATGCTTGAAATCAAGATCAGTCATGGCCCTGTTGAAAAAATGACGGAGTTGATACAGGCTTCCACTGAAAACCCAATCACGGGAAGTAATATGGAAGTCAATCATTCAGTTCTTGATGCTGGTGACAGGGACACTATTACTTCTCAGAGACCTGCTCCTGAAGGTCTTCTTGGTGATGGTGGTGATCCTCCCATGGTTACCCTATCTGTTTCAGATGTAACAGAACACCCTAGGAGTGACTCTGGAAACAAAACGGAGGCTTCAAAAGCATCTCCTAAGTCTTCTCCACATGTTGTTAGCCTTGGCAATAGTACAATATCCATTAAACCTGATTATACTGATTATTTTTCCTTAGGGACTGTTACTCCTATTGCAGATCATTCAGATTCAAGAAATATCCCAAGTGTAGCTGATAGTGTATCAAGCAGTAATAAGCCTTCTGTGAAAGACTCCCTAGATTCTTCTTTTGAAATCAGAGATGATGAAGCTAAAACTCAAATTCAATCGGGGGTTGATATAACCAAGGTTGAGGGTGAGGAGGTCTGCAAAATGCAAATTGATCCTGCTGTATCAGAGGTTTGTTTTTTATTCTGTTGTTTTTCTTATCTCGATTTTCCTTAGACTTGGACAGCATTTGCTTGTCTTTAAAAGGTAAATTGTCTCTAATGAGGTGTCCACTAGACTTGGCAATATTGCATAGGACTCCCAAACATCTGACATTTCTCTTTGTTCTCCTCTTAGGTGTTGGTTTTTTTTCCAACACCATTTGGGGTTTCTCTTTGTTTTCTTCTTAGGTGACTTGTTACCACATATGGCGGTTTTGCTTTGATTTTTTTTTTAGTAGATAATATTTGGTTGCAGAAAAGTTACATTTGCCAAAACATTTCACTGCTTAAGGGTTTAGAGTTTCATATCATTTAGTTATATTGTCATAACTCTCTGTTGTTCTTTCTGACCTGCCCATTATTTGTTCCATGTGCAGTTTCCTTTTCTTTATGATGGTTTGTGCTTAACTGGACTTGCAGATTACTTAAGGGGCAGTTTGGTTTTATATTTGAGTTTGTGTATGCTTGAAGTCTAGGGATAGTTTTAGCCTGTTCTTTAAATCTACTGTTAGTCATTCGCATTGCAAACACTCAGTTTTCAGTGAGGGTCATTGGGTTTAGAAATAACATAGGATCTAGGAAGGGCTTTTTTGGAGTTTATGCATGTGTGGGAGTGTTGTTTCTTTGTGGGTGATTAACAACTTGCTCTATTGATGCATGATGTTTTTTTTCCTCGTATCAATTTTTGTGCATTGATTCAGTTGGTAACTAATAAAATGCTATTACCAGGCCTCTTCTCTTAAATATCTGTCTTCTTCCTACAAGATAGAGCCAAACAATTCTGCAGCTGGAGCCAGTCATCGAAAGGATGCTTTTTCTCAGTTTGGTGGGATTTTGCTGCAAAATATTTCTCCACTCAGAGGAAATACCTATGGCCCATGTGAGAATGATCTTGTTGGAAGCTCAGAAGTAGTGGAGGAACCACACAAATCTAAAGCAGGTAACGAAGCAGAATATTCTCAGGTTGGTGCATTTGTGCCAAAAGTTATGTCAGAAAACATGGTTCTACCCTCGTCCTCACTGGCAAGGGAGGAAGAAAAGCACAGTAGACCATTTGAGCAGGGTTTAGCTGGCAGCTCAATGGAACCAGAAACATCAAAGGGGTTTGAGGCTCAAATGGCCAGTAAAATGGATGTATCTAATGCTAATGTTATCATTCCAGAAATTAGACCAGAACACATGGTTCTACCCCAATCTTCCTTGGAAGCAGAAGAAAACATCAATGGCATTTTGGAGAATGATGTGGCTTGCTGTTTGGTGGTGCCAGAGGGAGCAAAGGGATCTGAAGTTGAAAATGATAGTCAGATGGGCGCGCAGAAGGTGTCTGATAGTGTACAAGAAATTGTGGAAGAAAAGGACAGTAGACCATTTGAGCAGGGTTTAGCTGGCAGCTCAATGGAACCAGAAACATCAAAGGGGTTTGAGGCTCAAATGGCCAGTAAAATGGATGTATCTAATGCTAATGTTATCATTCCAGAAATTAGACCAGAACACATGGTTCTACCCCAATCTTCCTTGGAAGCAGAAGAAAACATCAATGGCATTTTGGAGAATGATGTGGCTTGCTGTTTGGTGGTGCCAGAGGGAGCAAAGGGATCTGAAGTTGAAAATGATAATCAGATGGGCGCGCAGAAGGTGTCTGATAGTGTACAAGAAATTGTGGATCCCTTACCATCTTCTCTTTTAATAGAGGAAGATCAGGTTGAGGGCTCATCTGAGAAGGGTGCGCTTTGTTTCTCTGTAATAGTTCAAAATTCAGGAGGGTCAGAAGCTGAAGCATGTGAGCAACTAGATGCATCTCATGCTGAGACTTTGGTACAAGAAAATGTATCAGAGAACATGGTTTCGCCAAGATCATCCTTGGTATCAGAGGCACCAGTGGTTGAGGGTTCTTCTGAGCAGGATATATTTGGCTTCTCAGTAGTACTAGAGACATCTGAAGGGTCTGCTACTAATAATGAGGTTCAAGTAAATCCATCTCAGACTAACACGGGCATATGGATGCAGGAATCTGAGATTGCAAGATCATCTGAGAACCACCAAGATGACAGCTCAGTAGCCAAGAAATCAAAACCATCTGCAATTGAAGAGGGCAGTCAAATGATGGTATCTGAGGTTGGTGGAATTGTGCATGAAACTTCTTTGGAAAACAGTTGTGTGCCATCTGTCTCAGAAACAAAGGCAGAAAACACTAATTGCTTATATGAGAAAAGTTCTCATTGTGTCTTGCTTGCTCTAGAGGAATCAAAACAGTCTGAAACTGAAAGTAGCAACCAACTGGTTGTATCTGATTTTCCTATGACCGGGCCTGAAAATTCTTTGGAGAACATTTGCCAGTCTTCATGTTCTCTAACAATGGAGGTGGATAAGATTGAGGGCTCGTCTAAGAAGAGTTCTTGTGACCTGTCAGTAGCAATGAAGGAATTAAAAAAGTTTGAAAAAGAAAACAATGAATCTCATGTTGGTAGCATGGAATGTGAAGAAAGTCAAGTTGTTGTTACCAGTTCCGAACACACACAGGTTGGTAGCATTGGACCAGAAGATACATCTGGAAATGGAAACACAGAAAAATCCTCATATTCCTCAGAAATGCAGGAAGGTAAGATTGAGGGCTCATCTCAGAATATCCCAGGGGAATCAAATAGGTTGGAAGCTGAAACAGATGATCAAACTCAGTATGGTGGGATGGCTCTAGCCAACATGTCAGAAATTATCAAGGGCTCTTCTAACTCAGGGATGCAGGAAGACAAGATTGAGGGCTCATCTCTGAATTTACCAGAAGAATCAAATAGGTTGAAAGCTGAGACAGATGATCAAACTCAATTTGGTGGGATGGCTCTAGCGAACATGCCAGAAAAGATAGAGGGCTCATCTCTGAATTTACCAGAAAAATGAAATAGGTGGAAAGCTGAGACAGATGATCAAACTAAATTTGGTGGGATGGCTCTTGCGAACATGCCAGAAAAGATAGAGGCTTTATCGTCCTCAGGGATGCAGGAAGACAAGATCGAGGGCTCTTCTCTGAATGTCCCAGAGGAATCAAATAGGTCGGAAACTGAAACAGATGACCAAGCTCAATGTGGTGTGATGGCTCCAGCGAACATGCTAGGAAAGATAGAGGCTTTATCCTCCTCAGGGATGCAGGAACACAAGATTGAGGGCTCATCTCTGAATGTCTCAGAGGAATCTAATAGGTTGGATGCTGAAACAAATGACCAAGCTCAATGTGGTGTGATGGCTCCAGCGAACGTGCCAGAAAAGGACTTATCTTCCTCAGGGATGCAGGAAGACAAGATCGAGGGCTCTTCTCTGAATGTCCCAGAGGAATCAGTAAGGCTGGAAGCTGAAACTGTAATCGATGATGAAACTCAGTGTGATGGGATGGCTCCAGCGAATATGTTACCTTCGTCTTCTCTCTTGGAGGAAAAGACTGATGTCTTATCAGAGAAAGATCCAGCTGAATAATATTGGTGTATCCAAAATTATCTGAAGTTGTAGAGTGATAAGCTGTCTTCAGCTCTTCTTTTTAAAGAGATTCGATTCGGAACTATTCTATGTCCAAGGTCCAATATTGGAATAATTTCAGAGGTTTTCCTTGACTTTATCCGTGTCAACAAACAATTCGAAATGCCTCGACTTTTTTAGAGCAGGTCCGAGTCAAATAGCAATGATTCGAAGCACTTCTTTTTACACTATTTCGGAAACCCAAGGACTTGAATTGTGCCAAGAAAACACCATCGAGCTTGGCTTCATTTTTGAACATCAGCGGGAAGATTAGAGGGCCAATTTGAATAGGACCAGTTGGGAGGTCAGTGGCACTAGAGGAATCACAAAGATCCGTGGCTGTTTCTGTTTCAGGTATTTATGAACCAAGAATTTTGCTGTACAGCTGTACTGTAATTTCCTGAAATATAGTCTATATTTAAGCTCACTGAATTTGGCTGACAACACCTAAGTTAATCAGGTTTTATATTGCCCCGTGTAAGTTTTTTAAGTGATCTAATTTATGGTTTGGTTGTGGAGTACCGTGTATATTAGTGTTTCTATTTTGTAGATAAATTTAGAGAAAACTCAGGTTTTGTAAAATTGAATAATAGTTTTAATATCAAAATAAACTAGATATTTTATTTATATTAGTTCTAAATTTTTTTATAGGAAATAATTTGTAATTAAAACTCTTCTAAATAATAAAATTCATCCATCATTAAAATTTTTAAATAGTAAAATATAAACTAAATTAAAGATGTTAATCTAAATAGAAAAAAAAAATCCAAATACAAGGGAAGTAAAAACAATAATCCTATATATTAACTTCTAAGTTTATTTAAAGGATATTTGATTATCATGAAATTTTAATTTAATATGAAATAGAGCTCACAAAATTTTGTTAATTTTTTTTTATTTAATAGCTGGATTAAAAGTTATTATTGATTTATTAAAATATATAAAAGAAATAAATTTATTCATGTTTGTGTCCTCCTTTACTTCTGAAAAATACTTTTGAGTTACCTATTAAAAATTAATAACCTTATAGCTATTTTATTCAAGAAGTTGCATGGAAAAAAAATTAATGTTATATATGTTTCTTTTTAGAAAAGTCCACTTGTAGTTTTTTGAAATTTACTTCAAACTAGAGCTCATCATCATTTATCATCTTTTATACTTAAATCATTATATGTAAATGAATACCAAACTAGAGCTCATCATCATTTATCATCTCTAAATCATTATATGTAAATGAATATCAAGATAATCTTTCATATCTTTAGAAAAATTATTAGAAATTATCATGTTTTCAATGTTGTTATTTGTAAGATCTTCATCCATGATTGAAAGATTATAGTTTGCTTTTAGCTTCTTTGAAACTATAACTGGAACACCACCTTTGATTACATTCTTTAATATGATTAGGTAATTTATAAATTTTTTTTCATCAAACTCTTTTAGGTTTTTTATTCTTGTCTCTTAAGAAGGTTGAACATAAGATAAATACTAATAATGATAACAATAATAACAATCTATTTATTTATCTATCTAATATAAAATCTCTTCATAAAACTTTAAAATTAATAATTGTTTCAAAACTTGCCAATATAAAATTAAATGAATATCAATATGAAATTTAAAGTAGAAATTCAAACCATCATTTTCTATCACCATAAAAAAGTTTGTGTACATCAAGTTCTACTTTTTATGATAAAGAACTTTGTTAAAATAAAAATAAATTTCTCATTCTATCAACCAATTCATAAATCTTTTCTTAAAAAAATTAACATCATAAAATGAAATTTCATCAAATTCAGAATTAGGTCTGGATTTATATCTATCTCAAGGTAACTCTTCATGAAAATTCATTTCCTCTTCACGATCCTTATTTGCATTTGTGTTACCTGTTAGCTAAACTAATTTACTATGGTTTGGTTTAAATGATCAAATATGTGTTCCTAATAATCTAGTTTTTGGGCCTAAAGCCATACAATGCCTCGTAGGGCTTTTATTTTTGCTTTGTGGAGTCGGTTGCTATTGTTTCAGTCCATCGAATAGATCAATATGCTCTCACAAGCCCCTCAACTAAAGTAGCTATAATGATATTAATATCTCATATTGGCTAGAAGTTTAGGGATTAAACGACTTATAAGCTTGAGATATCACCTCTCTCTCCCTGATAAATGTTTTTTAAGGGTAAAATTTATTGTAAGATTATAAGCCCACAGTGCATTATCTCTTAAAAAGCCAATTATATAGTGGATTTAGACCAATATAATCATAATATTTCCCACTTAAAGGTATCAAACTCTAATAAATCAAAAAAAGTTTCTTTTACAAATAAATATAATTGAAAAATCATAATATTGTAAAGATTTCGAGCAATGTGGCTTTTATATATCATCGTTATAAGATTCATCTAAAATATGATTTTTGTTATGCATTGTGTTTGGCGAGCAATCAATAATTCTCATTGTGTTAGATTAAAGTTTGAGTTAAATGAAAAAAGAAAAACACCTACTATTTTTTTAGCCGAAAGGTTATCGGAGCATTTGGACCTTCTATATATAATAAAATTGAAGATGAAGTTGTTAGTTAAGTATCATGCAACAAAAAAAGAGCAATATGATCTTATAGAAGTTTTTAATATTTATATTTTTTAAAATTTTACAAAATCTGTGTGGTTTGTTATACTATTTTCAAATATTTGTTATATGAGTTGTATTATTTATAGGTTAAGATGTACACATCAAATAATAAATGAAAAGAGTTTTTCATCCTATCTATTGTTTAATTTTACATGGTATTAGAGCCAATAAACCAATGTCACTCACACTCTTTTTTTATAATGTCTACCATTTACTTGTAAGCCACCCAACTCTTTCTTTTCGATCCCTTCTCCTCTCTTAATATTTCCAAGTTTAGTTGACAAAATTTTCTCATATGGCTTTCATATCTGAAGATATGTTGATGAAACCCTTAGACCTCTACTCAAACAACTAATTGTTTTTGATGGCACCATTTCTCCCAACCCCTTGTTTGATAGTTGGAAAACTCAAGATAATTTAATCCTTAAATATTTCATTTCCTTGCTCACTAATGAAGTTTTGGTGCAAGTCACCTATCATACCACCTCTAATACACTTTAGATGGATCTCACACTAACATTTTCTTCCTAGTCTTAGACTTAAACAATCCATATGTGATCTCATCTATCCTCTACATGCATAAGACAACTCAAATAACTACAAAATATTTTTTTTTGCATATTAATAAGCTTATTGATGACCTTCTATTGATTAGCTTTTAAAATGTGATGATATCATCATATGTCTTTTTGTGAGGTTGGGACTCAATTATTATTCTTTGTTCATCATTATTGATGCTTATGATGCTTCCCTAACTCTTAAGGAGGTCTTTTTTAAGTTAATTGCATGTAAGGTCCAAATTCAACATCACTTTTGACCAACTCCTTGTGCTTCTCATTTGGCTAATGTTACCATAAAGAAATAAGGTTTTTCTAGTCATTATGGACATGGCAATCTATGAGGCATATAATATTGTAAAGATTTCGAGCAATGTGGCTTTTATATATCATCGTTATAAGATTCATCTAAAATATGATTTTTGTTATGCATTGTGTTTGGCGAGCAATCAATAATTCTCATTGTGTTAGATTAAAGTTTGAGTTAAATGAAAAAAGAAAAACACCTACTATTTTTTTAGCCGAAAGGTTATCGGAGCATTTGGACCTTCTATATATAATAAAATTGAAGATGAAGTTGTTAGTTAAGTATCATGCAACAAAAAAAGAGCAATATGATCTTATAGAAGTTTTTAATATTTATATTTTTTAAAATTTTACAAAATCTGTGTGGTTTGTTATACTAGTTTCAAATATTTGTTATATGAGTTGTATTATTTATAGGTTAAGATGTACACATCAAATAATAAATGAAAAGAGTTTTCATCCTATCTATTGTTTAATTTTACATGGTATTAGAGCCAATAAACCAATGTCACTCACACTCTTCTTTTATAATGTCTACCATTTACTTGTAAGCCACCCAACTCTTTCTTTTCGATCCCTTCTCCTCTCTTAATATTTCCAAGTTTAGTTGACAAAATTTTCTCATATGGCTTTCATATCTGAAGATATGTTGATGAAACCCTTAGACCTCTACTCAAACAACTAATTGTTTTTGATGGCACCATTTCTCCCAACCCCTTGTTTGATAGTTGGAAAACTCAAGATAATTTAATCCTTAAATATTTCATTTCCTTGCTCACTAATGAAGTTTTGGTGCAAGTCACCTATCATACCACCTCTAATACACTTTAGATGGATCTCACACTAACATTTTCTTCCTAGTCTTAGACTTAAACAATCCATATGTGATCTCATCTATCCTCTACATGCATAAGACAACTCAAATAACTACAAAATATTTTTTTTTGCATATTAATAAGCTTATTGATGACCTTCTATTGATTAGCTTTTAAAATGTGATGATATCATCATATGTCTTTTTGTGAGGTTGGGACTCAATTATTATTCTTTGTTCATCATTATTGATGCTTATGATGCTTCCCTAACTCTTAAGGAGGTCTTTTTTAAGTTAATTGCATGTAAGGTCCAAATTCAACATCACTTTTGACCAACTCCTTGTGCTTCTCCTTTGGCTAATGTTACCATAAAGAAATAAGGTTTTTCTAGTCATTATAAACATGACAATCTATGAGGCATGGGTATGGCACTGTTTCTTTTAAAGAATATGCTCGTGAAATTCTTTTTTTCATAATCCTAACAACCTTTGGTTCTAATTATATAAGAAGCCTGTATATACTGCCTTGGGATGCTTCAAGCGAATTGATCTGAAATTTTTAACACCATCATCTTACTAGAATGCTCAAGCCAATCTCTCAACTATTCAAAAACAGATTTCTAGTGATTAGAAGTGGCATGCTGATACTAGAGCAACTCATCACTTCACCAATAATTTTAGCTAGCATAAAATATATGGGTATTGATTAAATTCAAGTAGATGATAGTTCAGGTTTGCATATAACTCACAATAGCACTACTTTTTTACCTTCACATTCTAAGTATTTTGTTCTTGATCAAATTCTTGTTGTTCTTGAGATTACCAAAAATCTTATTTTGAATTCTGTAACACTTATTTTTTTTTATTAATGAATACTCCAGGAACATCCTGAATAAAATCCATAGTAAATATGGACTCCATTGCTTCTCTAAGCCATTTTAGCAAGCTCTTTTATGCTTTCATAGGTCTCTACATTTTTTTTTTTTTTGCAATTGACATTGTCATTTAAGACATGTATATTTTAATCTTATCAATATTTTAAAAATCCAATAACCTTTATGCCAATTTTAATAATAGATACTACTTTGGCTAATGTTACCATAAAGAAATAAGGTTTTTCTAGTCATTATAAACATGACAATCTATGAGGCATGGGTATGGCACTGTTTCTTTTAAAGAATATGCTCGTGAAATTCTTTTTTTCATAATCCTAACAACCTTTGGTTCTAATTATATAAGAAGCCTGTATATACTGCCTTGGGATGCTTCAAGCGAATTGATCTGAAATTTTTAACACCATCATCTTCCTAGAATGCTAAT